CGTGTGCCTGGCACTCAGCAGGCATGCCTTTACATGATAGGCTATCCCTTTTACTGCATCATCAATAATGCCATACTAATAATGAAATATTTTAAATATTTCTCCCCTTCAAAGCTCTGAAATCAAGTTCCTATTCACTCTACAAATGAGGCAAATGGCTTGGAGTTTAGATCTCCCAGGTAATAGATTAGCCACATTTAGATCTTTCCATGTTTAGATCTCCAAGGTAATAGATTAGCCACTGGGAGAATCTGTCTCATAAGTTACTAACTGATGATGGTGATGTGGGTTGTTCATTTTAGAGATAATGATAATATCTCCACTCTAAAATCCAAGCCACTGGCCCTTTTAGAACCAAACACTAACTCACAATAAATGCAAGGTAACAAGAGGACTCAAATGGGAGCTTCATCATTTCCATACTGTAACTTTCACCTACAATTACCCTGATTTGGAGAGTCAGAATATTTTATTTAAATTCCTCCACAGGGCTGGGTGCAGTGGCTCATGCTTGTAATCCCAGCACTTTGGGAGGCTGAAGCAGGATGGCTTGAGGCCAGGAGTTCGAGACCAGCCTGGGCAATATAGTGAGACCCCGTCTCTACAAAAAAGACTAATAAATTAGCCAGGCATAGTAGCACATGACTATAGTCCCAGCTACTCAGCAGGCTGAGGTGGGAGAATCACCTAAGCCCTGGAGGTTGAGGCTGCAGTGAGCCAAGATCAGGTCACTGCACTCCAGCCTGGGTGTCAAAGTGAGACCCTGTCTCAAAAAAACAAAATAAATTAAATTAAATTAAAATAAATTCCTCCATAGAGACATTTAGTGATATTCCACAAATGCATTTTGTGTTTGTGTGTGTGTGTGTATGTGTGTGTGTGTGAGAGAGAGAAAGAGAGAGACCTGAACAAAATATATATAGAGAGAGTCTTGAACAAGAATAATAAAGTGTTTTTTTTCTACCTTTAGAAGACAAAGAGCAAGAATTTTAAAGTATAAAACCTACCTTTTTATTCAAGGCCTGTTCCCCATTTGACAATTCTGATTGTAACTAATTGTTACAATGAGTAACGATTAGTAAGTTTTGTGAATTTTATGATATATGTATTTTATTTTTTAATAAAATGTATCTCTTGGAAATCAATCCTACCTTTCTTCTTTTCATAATTTTTTAACATAGAGGATAATAAACACTGTCAAATTAGAATTTCTTCAAGTGTGATCTCCTTTTGAGCACAAGATTTCTGTCTTGTCACAGAACCAAATCTATTTATATTTATTAAAGGAGGTATTATAGGTCATGAAAGGGAAGATATTAAATTATTGTGTAGCAAAACAACCTTGACAGGAGAATCGCTTGAACCCAGGAGGTGGAGACAGCAGTGAGCCGAGATCGCACCACTGCACCCCAGCCTGGGTGACAGAGCAAGACTCTGTCTCAAAAAACAAAACAAAACAAGACAAAACAAAACAAAAAAACAGCCTTGAGTAAACCTGCAACTTGAAAAATAAAAAAGAATATACACATAAACTATGTTTGGCTCTATAATCAGAACATACGTATAGCTGTTTGGATATATTTTGGCCTGCGTAATTGTTATTCTACTACTGCTAATGACATCGTTAATTATACGAAAACTTTTTAAAGCCTTAGTCCATGTTTAATTCTTCAAAACACTATGTATCAGGATAATTTGTTCTCAATTCACAGTTGAAAAATTAAACTAACCTCTTCCAGACAATACTATTATCTCCTGAAATGACAACTTAAAGAAAGAAATTCTTTAGATTGTGCTCTGCTGTTAAGATGTTGGGAATTCGCAAATATAGCAGCAGTGGTACCAAATGAAGTCTTTAAAATTGTTTTTAGCAACCTCCTTTTCTCGTTAACTTGTTCTTATTTAACAATCTTATTAACATTCTTATTGTAAATGATTTGACAAAATTATTAAATTTTTTGGTTCACAGAGAAGTTCTGGTACGGCTTAAAAAACAATATGTATAGAGAATTTATGCATATTATTTTTATAATTCTAGAAAATGCCATTTATTTTCAGATTAATATTTATGAATGGAAGATATTTTTCTAGAGGTATGAGAATACTGAAAAATAATCAACATCCGAATATACATACAATTTTAAATTAATATAATATAAAATATATTAATTTTTCCTTTTATATTAAATATACACACGTGTTTACTATTTTGTTTTTACTACAAATATGTATTTATAATATATACATATATAAACATATATTTCAGCATATTTTTAATGGCAAATTATTTTTTCTGTATATCTGAAAATTATAACCTTAATTTAATTTTATTTATTTAGAATATAATGTATCACATTTGGTTTTATCCTAGTAAGAATTTAACAGGGGAGCACTGTGGGCAGATATAAGTGTTTTTATTTCCGTTTCAGAGATGTCACCACTGAGGCCAGAGAGCCTAATTATCTTGCCCTAAATTTCACAGCTGGTGGGTGGCAAAGCAGTACCAGGTTTCACACCAAGTTTGCCTGATTCCAAGTTACTTTCCATCCAGGTTTAGCTAATGCTTTAATACGCTATGTCAAGTCCTTCAGCGTTTCTTTAATTCACGTGCACTCTCTTCATTGCACATGTGACTTATCCCTTTCTAGTGACAGCACATAACAGAGCTCCTTCCTCCTTTATAAGAAGATGCTGCTTTTAACTTCCAGTGATAATGTTCTAGGTAGGGGAAGCTAGTCCCAGGGAGAAATGACTATGCAAACCATAAAGTGGGAGTGGGCTGAGGTCCCAGGAAATCCCCCATGTACATCCTAGCAAACCAGAAAGGGAAATTTGAGTTTTTGACATCTAGTTTTAACATCAACCAGGTAAACATCAAGATTTAATGGTAACTCACAATCCTTTGACTGCGAGACCCCTGCAAAAGAGACTCTGGTCAGATAAATAGAAAGCTTAACCATATTTAAACATATTTTCATTAATTGAAAAAATACATGATGGAATTTGACTACACTGGACTCGTGCGTCTCACAAATTTAGAAGTGCTAGATTGTAGGGAATGAAGAGGAAATCATAATATGACTCTACTCCATGAAGGTGGCATCGTTCAAAGTACGGAGTTCCATGTCTCAACAATTGTGATGTGATCTGTTTGATTCATTATCAATGGAAATTGTCTGAGTCCAGCATGGTCAAAGCCAAGACTATTCAAGCAACACACTGACTTATTTTAAATTACTGTTCCAGCAAAATGTATTTTTAATTGCCATAAAAAAGTGTTACATTTAGAGAAAGTGCTCTCAAATTGATGGATGTGATGTAGAAGAGAGTCGTGAAGTTAGTGAACTGATAGGGCTTATAAAGTTAACTTGTATCTAGAATAGCACAATATGGTCTTCTTTTCTTCAGCTCTGAGAAGATATGGTTTTTTCCTTGCTTCTTACATGACAGAATTATTGAATTATTTCCAAACATTTAAATCTAGGAGACTTTTTTTTCATGTCAGATAGAACAAGTCTAGTTAATTACATAATTTGGAGGGAGAAACTAAGATGTATTTGGTAAGTTAGATATATAAATTATTGTGATTATTTAATTTTTCATGTTTTTCTTTAAAAATATGTGTATACTAATGTTACCAGTGAGAAATCAACTTTATAAAGTGGGAATTACAACAAGTACACAATTATTACATTTTAATGTTGGAATAAGCATCGTCTCTAATATATTCAGTAAAAATATTTTCAGATACAGTGATGTGATGGCTAGGATACAGTATAGTTTCTTAAATTGTTTTAAATTGACTTTTTAAAATATTTAATTTCTTTTTCCTGGGTCAATTAATTTTTTTATGTCACTAGAATACCCTCTATACTTTGTAGTTATATAGCAAAATATGCTAAAGTGTCAGATAAATATTTCTAATGCCATTATTGGGTAAATATTACTATATTTATTAGAAATGACAGAATTTTAAAAAATTCTTGGCACTTTCTTTAAAGACATTCTATTTCCCTTACAGCACTCCCTCCTGGCAACTTTGAAAAGGCCTTCTAAGTCAATTATCAGAAAGGGAATTATAAGAAGTTGTTTTCTGAAAATGGGTGTGTGCCTTAGATAGGCAAGTCCACAATGAACACGAAGCTTCTAAGCTCTTTTCTCCTAAGTCCCTGAAAAGTATTAAAAGGCATGGACCAAGAAAAGGGAGTGCTGTATATTCTGTTCAATAGTGGCATGAGCATTCCTGTCTAAATTCAGCACAGAAATCACAGTTTAGGCAAATCATAATTAAGTGTAAAATCCTTTTTCTAGCTTTGGACAATTTTCATGAATTTTAGAAACATGAGGGTAAAATCTTTATTTTAGTTAAATAGTTTGGAGAACATGCTCTAATCCTTAAAGTTCCATTTTCATAAACTAGTTTCACTATTAAGGTACTGTTTTTGTGAGCACACTTCCTATAAGATAAAGAAGTTTTAAAATATAATTTCTCTCTTCAAATAAACCACCAGGAAGTCTAAAGCCCTCAGAAGAAAATCTAAGGCTTTGTTTTTTTCCTAGAATGAAAAGGGATAATGCCGGTTGTCCAGACTGGTTGCAAATGGTGCTGTATAACTCTATTCTCCAACGTATTTAAAAGTATACGGACAGCTCTCTGTTGCATTTTTAAAAATGAGCTCTTACACGATAAAATTCCATGCCATGCAAATGAATTAAACAAACGATTGGAGACAAAATAATCAAATCAGGAGAAGTACATATCAGTTTCATTTCTCCACGATTAACCAAAATGTTCTAATACAATGTTTTGTTCTTTCATTTTTAACACTTTAAAAAAATTCTGTAGAACCCAAATTCTTAAACCTGGCATAGTTAAGTTCTCATCAGAAGAAGGTGCAAGTGCTGTATAGGAAAATAAATACAAAAAAAAAATTCCCTCTATCATCCAAGCATCTTTGGGTGACTTGCTTTTTGAAATGATAACAGAAGGAACAGATTACCTGACACACAGAGGTAATACCTGTCCTGGACGGAGAACTCTATTTCAATAAACTCGTACAGATTCTGCGAGAGTGGCTTAAACAGTTTCTTCTCCAAGTCCTCCTTTACCAATGATGACATTTCCTCCAGTTCCACTTGGCCTGATGTCTTGGCTCAAGCTCACTCTTTCCTCTCCTTTTGCTCCCTAGATTTCTCGTTTGGGTTTGCAGCTCCTTGGTGAGCCCTGCCCACCTTCCAGCCCTCCCTCTCTTAACTTCTCATTCCTAGCCAGAGCCCAGATTCCCGAGAGCACTCAGCGCGGTCAGACCCCTCACTGCGGTATCTGCCCAGTGGCAGCAGCGGCGGCGGCAGCCAAAATACAGCAGCCTCACTAGCCCCACCGTCAGTCTTCCGCGACCAGCCTCCAGCAGGCTGCTCTCTGAACTCTTCCGTGGCTTGCTGGTGGGGAAACATATTTATGACCACCGACTGATACTCACAGATCTACTTGTGGAGTCCCCTGGCTGTTCCAGTCTTGGTAGCCTTTTCCCCTTTCACAACACTATGCGAAGACCACGATTTCAGCTTGATGCCATTATATAAATCAACTGTCTGGCTCTATTGATTGGGATCATCTTCCATTAAGAACTTTGCTATCATCGGCAAGAGAAAAGACATTTGTGCTTGCTCCTAACACTTCCAACAAGTCTCTTTCCCTCCCTTCCTTCCCCTCCTGATCTTTGCTTCCATGACAGTCTGCACCAATTCCTGGGTCTAAATTATTTTTAAAATGGAAATTTTTCATGTGTTCACTTTAATACTATTTATGCCTCCACTCACAAAAATGTGTTAGCCACCTACTAGGGTAAAACATTGTATTTTTCTTAGAAGGGTGAATTTCTTAGCCTCAAGGAACTTCTAATCTAATAGAAATGAGTACACCAAACAGTTATCATAAATGTGTAAGAGTGATAAAGGCACAAAGAAGAAGGAAACACAGAATAGAAAAGACATTTATACCTGGCAGGTATTGGAGAAAGGGCTATGGGAGAAGATCTGGAGCTTGAAGAATGAGAGAAAAGTGGAGAGGTGGAGGAGGAGGAGCATATGTCAGTCCAGGGAGTCAAAGTCCTGCATCAAAAAAGCATGAGGGCTGTGCTATGGCTTGAATGGGTCCCCTCTAAAACTCAGGTGTTGTCAATGTGACAGTATTGAGAAGTGGGGCCCTTAAAAAAAGTGAGTAGGCCATGAGGGCTACTCCATCCTGAATGGGACTAAGGCCCTTATAAAAGAGTCTTCACATGGGTTTGGCTGGCTTGCGCTTCTGCCTTCTGCTATGTGAAGACACAACATTCTTCCCATCTGGAGGAGGCAGCCCTCACCAGACAGCTGAACTTGCCAGTGCATTGATCTTGAACTTGCCAGCCTGGAGAACTGTAAGAAATACATTTCTGTTTCTTATAAATGACCCAGTCTGTGGTATTTTGTAAAAGCGGCACAGAAGGACTAAGACAGGATATTTGGGAGGACAGGAAGTAGCCCAGCTTTCCTGAGTTGTATGGTATGTGAAGGTAAAAGATTAGCCTGCAAAGATAGATTGGGACCAGATCATGAAGGGCCTTAAATACCAGCTAAGCCTTTGGACTTTATTCTATAGAAGTAGAGGGCCAATTAAGGTTATTGACATGCATTCTTTCATTCATTTATTCATTCAACAGAAATTTATTAAGAATCGACTATGTACCAGGCTCTGTTCTAAGAACTGGTGATATGGCAGTGAAAAAATAGGCCAATTCCTTGCTCTATGGAGCTCAATGCAGTAGATAGAAAACGAAGAACTAAAGCGGTAGTACATCCAGGGTGCACTCAGCTGCAAGTAACAGAATATATGACATAAAGATATAAATAATCTCATGTAATAGAAGGTCTGCAGGTAGGTAGTCCCAAGAGTTAGCTCAGGGCTCATAGATAAGGATCCCAAATGCTTCCCATTCTTCCGATCTACCTTCCTCAGATGTTGGCTTTTTTGTCCTGAGGCTGCGTGGTTCAGATCCATAGACAGAAAGTAGGAGAGGTGGCTCTTTTTTGTTTCTTTTCATGAGGAAGCAAAATCTTTTTCAAAAACCATCACGCACACTTTCCTTTACATCTCAGTGGCCATAAATGGATCGCATGGCATCCCTAGGAAAGCTAGTATAGTCCTATGCTGCATAACAAGATTTCAGTCAACAATAGACTGCATACAGGATGGTGATCCCATCATCTCAAATGAAGCCGAAAAATTCCTATGATCCAGTGACGTCATAGACCCCACGATGTCAACTCAATACCTTTTCTATGTTTAGATATGTTTAGCTACACAAATACTAAGCATGTGTTACAACTGCCCACACTATTCACTATGGTACATGCTGCACAGGTTTGTAGCAGCCTATAAGCCATAGGCTATACCATATAGCCCACCTAGGTGTGTAGTAGACTGTGCTGTCTAGATTTGTGTAGTACTCTTTATTATGTGGGCACAGTGATAAAATTGCCTAACGGTGCATTTCTCAGAAGATAAACCCATCATTAAGTGATGCATAATGGTATTTGTCTTTTTTGACTGCTATTATGGGAGGTGGGATTTTCTAACAAAGAAGAAAGGGATGGGAATGGCTATGAGCAGATAACCAACAGTGTCTACCATGGCTGCTCTAAAGAAAAAAATGACATGCCTGTAGCTAGGCTGAATTGTGAAGTACTGGGTGAGATATTTGCCTTTCTGAGCCTCAATTTCCTCATCTGAAGAAAGTTCTCTAGGATCTTTTCCAACTTTTAATATCCTCCTATTTTGTCTGTGATTCTGGGACTCTATGAAAACAATTTGAGCAAGATGATCAAAGGACTAGTGTATTAGTCCATTCTCATCTTGCTGTAAAGGAATACCTGAGACTGGGTAATTTATAAAGAAAAGAGGTTTAATCAATTCACAGTTACACAGGCTGTACAGGAAGCTTGGTTGGAGAGGCCTCAGGAAACTTACAATCATAGCAGAAAACGAAGAGGAAGGATCCACAGTCTTACATGACCGGAGCAGGAGGAAGAGAGAGAAGGAGGAAGTACAACACACTTTTAAACAACCAGATCTCATGAGAACTCACTATCGTGAGAACAGCAAGGGTGAAATCCGCCCCCATGATCCAATCACTTCCCACCAGGTCCCTCCTCCTTCATTAGGGATTACAATTCAACATGTGATTTGGGTCAGAACACAAATCTAAACCATATCAACTAGCACTATGTTTGGATATGGAAATGGAGAAAGGAGGATGAATATGAGATACATCTGATAATAAAATCAGTAAGCAGTAGCACAAAGTTGAATGTGAAAGATGGAAAGTGAAGTCAATATGACACAACTGCTTTCTACTTCCACCTAGGGAATGAGTAAATGGCTTCCCGTCATGGGAGATAGGTTTTTGAGGAGAAATTATTTTTCAGATTTTACACTTAAAAAAGTATTTCCAGCCTGGCACAGTGGCTAATGCCTGTAATCCCAGCACTTTGGGAGGCTGAGGTGGGCAGATCATGAGGTCAGGAGATTGAGGCCATCCTGGCTAACACAGTGAAAACTTGTCTCTACTAAAAATACAAAAAATTAGCCGGGTGTGGTGGCATGTGCCTGCAGTCCCAGCTACTTGGGAGGCTGAGGCAGGAGAATCGCTTGAACTTGGGAGGTGGAGGTCGCAGTGAGCTGAGATCAGACCATTGCACTCCAGTGTGGGCGACAGAGAAACAAACAAAAAAGGTATGTCTTATATGTTTTCATCTTCATATGGAGAAAAAAAATCATACGATTCAGCAACTCATCAACAATATTGTTATTGAAATTGTAATTAGATAATTATTTTCATGATTCTTTGTATCATGTTTTGTTACCTGCTAGACTACAAGTTTTATGAGGGCAGAAACCATGCTTTTTCTCTTACTACATATCCAAGATAGGTGGGCTGTAGTGTCTTACATATAATGGGCATTCTTGTGTTCATTTATTAATTTATTTGTAAATGTTTACTAAAGAACAAATAAGTAAATCAAAAAATCTTGTAATGAATTTTTAGAAATTCTTTGCATAGCCGATTTTGTAGTGCTATATCCTTACAGATGGAGGGAAAATGGTCTTTAGTTGTGAGTCTCAGATGCACTTCTGGAGAAACTACTGCAACTTTCTCTTTAAGTTCTTAAGAAAAGAATGTGTATGTATTCCAGTATTGTCTTAAGTAACATTGAAATCAGAAGTTCAGAAACTGACCTAGTAACTTTGCTGTTCCAAAATGAAATGTGTGCCATCAAGTAGGTGTGTTCAGAAACTATATGCCATTGGTTTGAATATTCTTATATCGATTTGTTTGACAGTTGTATTAGTACATTTTTACAGTGCTATAAAGAACTATCTGAGACAGGGTAATTTACAAAGAAGAGAGGTTTAATTGACTCACAGTTCTGTGTGGCTGGGGAGGCCTCACAAAACTTACAATCACGGTGAAAGCCAAAGGGGAAGCAAGGCACGTCTTACATGGTGAGAGAAAGAGAGAGAGAGAGAGCGCGCAACAAGTGGGAGGTGCTACACACTTTTAAACAATCCAGTATGTTGAGAACTCTATCATGATACAACACTAGGGAGAGAGTGCTAAATCATTAGAAACCACCCCCATGATCCAATCACCTCCCACCAGGCCCCACTTTCAACACATGGAGATTACAACTTTACATGAGATTTGGTGGAGGCACAGACCCAAACCATAAGGGTCAAAGGGAAAAGTAAAAGAGTCATGTTAAAATGCTAATAAATGTCTTTCTTAAGGTTCTAAATAATTCTACAATCTATCAAAACATTACCTAAGTTAAATAATTCAAAGGATTCAACTTTAAAAGGAGTACGAAAGACAATTCACCAGAAGTGAAAATAAGGAAAATTTTTAGAGGCGTTGATTTCTTCGTTAATTAGGAGGAATACAATATCAGATCTTTGAAAACTAACCTCAAAACAAGAGGTTATTGAAAAGTGACAAATATATCCAAAAAATGTTCAGTAAGATATTTAATAGAGCTATTAAAATATTTTTTCCTCACAGTTAAAGATTATTCTAGTCTATAAATTTATTTTCTGAAATTCATAGAATTGTCAGTGGTGATAAAGAGGAAACGGTGGCAAAATGGTATGTTTCTGGAAAGACTCATTTTAAGAACCCCAATGTCCCCC